GAAGCGTGCAAGCTTGGACCCCACTCAGAATAGGCAGCTTTGCCACCCACACGGGCCAGTGCGTGCCTTCCCTGTGCCCCTTAGCCTTTGTTTGGTTTTGTTTTAATGTTGAGACAAGAAGTTTTCATGTAGCCTCTTATTTTGTTAATAGATAGAAATATTTGGGTTTGAATGAAGTGGGTAGATAACTGGCGTGCTTCAGCGCTGCTGCCGCAGGTGTGCTTTGTCACTGTCAGAGTATGACAATGACGCAAAGCAGGTGTGATGCACCTGTGATGTCGGCAGATGCACCTGTGATGTCGGCAGACGCACCTGCATTGAGGCCGAAGGACAATGAGAGATGTGTGCAGAGGCGTGGCCTTGCTGGGCTTGGTCCCAGTAGACAGATGACAAAGAAGAGACAAATTAGATAACAGATACTGAAGAACATAACATGAGGACTAAAGGCTTTGGGGGGAAGAACATACGCACAAAGACAGTGAAGGAAGCGCCTCTTGTCAACTCCAAAGCCCATCTAGACGGCTTCCTGGAGCCACCCCAAGCCCAGCACACCTATGAGAAGAATCTGGCAAACAAAATAAGGGCAGCATTTCTCTCAGTAGAAGGGCCAGAGTAGACACCTGGAAGGGTCAGATAGTTGCCTGGCAACACTCTGTACAATTGCATCATGCAGCCATCTGCGGAATCTGGACCAAGTAAAAAAAAGAATGAAGATATATTTAACTTTTGATGAAACTGAACTGTCGAAAGATGACCAAAATAAGAATTGAGTTATTTGAAATCTATAAATCGCACATCATGTTCATTTGTCACCTCTAGGAAAAGCAAAAAAAGTTCCTCCATCTCCTACAGTGGAAGAGGAGTGAGTGTGTAGAGGTTGGTGGTGGGCACTGCAGCCCCTTATTGATGGTCTGAGAAGACAACTCAGTGCAGATGCAGTCCACTCCACACCTGCAGGCCCATCAAGGCGTTCTAACCACTTCTGGGCTGATCTGAGCAGAGCTGAGGGCTGCTCTTACATAGCGTGTCTGCCTCTTGTTTTCTCTTGCATGCTTTCCAAGTAGAACAGTAGGAATTTATTCAAGATGCCTTTGACTCTGCATGCTTCAGGGATGCCTGGTGGCATTCAGGTCAAAGCGGGAATGAAAGGGTTGGCTTACTGATTCTTTTATTTATGTATCCATCAGCCAAGTTATGTGCGTCTATGACAGAACAAAGTGTTGCTCTGGACACAGACGTCTCTTTGGAGGAGGTTTGCCTTAGGAAACATGCAGAGCTTGGAGTTGTGGCTTTTGCAAAGTTCTCTCAACTCTCACCACAATTGTCCTCCAGGATACAGAGGAATAAATTCAACAAAACATCATTTATGCAAAGAGACAGAAGAGGGCAGATGGTGAGGTCACCCTAGGCTATCAGAAATGATGCTTAGGCATTTTTTAAAAATGCTATTATTGTTGAAAAGTGCTTACTAGTTTGCATTCACATTTTGAAAATACTAACCTGGAGAACACCTTGAGAAGATTTTACTTATTCATTTACCAGAAACAAAAACAAAGTACACACACAAGCGCACACACACACACACACACACACACACACTACTGTGTCTTGAGACAGGATTGCATTTATTGTTGGGTTAAGCCTTTTCCATCCATGTGTCTTTTATAATTCAACCTGACAATTGTGAACAATTTATTTTTATTTTGTTCCAAATTCTACTAGAAGTCTTGGAAAGCTGTTCGCCCAGTGAAAAGTGGCTAAACAAAAATGAATCCATATTGTTCTGTTACTTTTGCACAACTGTGAGCAGAATCTTAAGAACCTCCTACATGTATGGATGCTTATAAAGGTCACACAGACATTTCCTGTAGTTTTTCTTTTCTTTTCAAAGTTTTATTGATAAACATATAGCAATGAGACAGTTTCAAATCAAATCGAAAGTACAGTTTCAACAAATAATACACTGCATATATTCTTCTTAGTGGTTAATTGCTGTACAAGATGCAGACTTGTGATCCTACTTACAAACACCATTAGAAAAAATCATTCTATTCATTAAGAGAATGCAACTATATATCATTCCAACCACTTTGAATACACAGATACAAAATGGACATTCATAGTTATACCCCAATTTTTTTAAGTTCTGTTGTTGAATATTATAGGTGTGTAAACTCAGCAAAATATTCTACCTGTAGTTTTTCATTGTTTCCACAGTGTTAGGCCCCACGATAGAGGGTTTCAGGTGAGTGCTGTGTACGGAGGGCCGAACTTTGCTCTGCTGGTTCTTGACAACCTTGCAAGCCACAGAAAGCGTTCATTTCACTGATGTAATATTAAGTAGCCAGGTGTTCAAAAATAGGTGAATTTTTCAACTAACCTTACCCAATATCACCAGGGTGCAAGATATGTTATACAATAAGATGATGAGGTGCACAAAGGAATGTCATAAGTATTTTTAAGTGAGATGTTTACATGAGCTTGTTTTGGGGATAATCTGTAGATCTACTTTCAATATTTTAATTTTATTTTTATGACATAGCCTGCCAGGCAAAGCAGGTGTTGAGATATATATATTCATGGGAAGAAAAGAAAGAACTATTCTGGCTAACAGAGACCTACAAAATCAGGAGAGAAAAAAACCATTGCCTTGCCTGAGACCACAGATCTTCTAGCGACTAGAGTCTCTTCATAGGAAGTACTGCAAAGGTTGTTGGACATTGTTGTTAATTGTGGCTGGAGACACAAAGCAATATGATCGTTTGACGCCTTATTTGTTATTTGAAAAATGACAGTCTTTATGTGCCAGTAAATATGAAACCACCTGGAAATACTTCCATGAGTTGAGTAGTCTAACTGTCCTTGCTTAGCACATTCACAAGATTTTAAGGCAGTCATTTGCATCTGTACTCGGCAGATCATGTCCCTGGCCATCACCCTGAGGGAAGCTCTCTGGTCAGCGTGAGACCAGGAATGTGTAATTGTGAAAACATGGCAGATGGGTTGTGTCTTCACTGGGGTGCACCATGAGAGACGATTAATTTCCAGTTCTGCGTGTGCTTTCTGTCCCACCCCATGTGCACCCAGTAGCTCTGCTGCCTTTCTTATCCCACATCTTCCCCTTGTTTTCTATAAGCACAGCTCAGTAGAACACCAAGGAACATTAAATTCATCCTGGAAAACATCAGCAAGTATCACACACTGTCTGGAGTGGTGTGCTCTCACCATGCCTGATGGCAGGACATGGCTTTCAAAGATGACTCTCACTATTCTGAAGCCTTAGTGTGGTTGCCTGCAGGTTCTGCAGAGCTCTGGGTGCATGCCTGACACTGTCTGCTCTTCTATGCCACAGATCTTCTCTGCCTCTCTTTTGCTGTAGCTGCCAAATCCTCTATTGGTAATCTTTAAGCTCTAGACTGCTGTGATTTCTCTTCTTACAATCGCACACTAAGCACATTGTTCATGCTCTCTGAACCAAACTCGGAGAGTGCCAGTTAATAACGTGATGCGGAGAAAGTTGGTGGGCTGCATTAAGCCCTCCTGCCTGCAGATATGAGCTGTGTGTGCTATCTGAGAGGAGGGAGACCCACTGAGAGTGGACAACGAGGTGTCGAGCTTCAGCATGAAAGAATGAAAAGTAGGTTTAAGGGCAGGCTTTCTCTCTTGATCGTATTCTGGATCATTCACAATGCACTGGTCAGGATTAGGCATCTTGTTGAAAGAGTACAAAGTACCTGAAACATAGAGCTTTTACATATTTATAAATCATACTGAAAGAAAGGCATGCAACAGCACTTTCAGTGAAACTTCCATTCATATCTTCACAGGCTGCCTTTTCTGAGCCTGCAGGACTATTCTGAAAACCTTTACTATTCATTCATTCACTTGTTTGTTTCTTAGTTTGTTTGTTCATTCATTCATTCATTTGATATTTAGCAGATATGTATTGCATACTAGACCTTAGTGTGGTTGTTAGGAAAATACCTGTGAAGAAACAGAGAAATACTGCTCCGCTCTCAGGGAATGTTAGGTAGAAGCGTACTAAAGAAGTACACGGAGCAATATTTCAGAAGGCAATAAAGGCTGTGAGATTTTCAAAGAGGCCTTGCATTCTTCCTTGAGAAGGTTTCAGGAATCCTGCCTGAGAACCAAGACTCCTAGAGTTGAGGGCTGGCCAACTAACTCAGCAGATTAAAGCACCTGCAAGCAGGTGCAGAGGCTGGGGATTTGATCCTGTGATGGCCCCATCCCCGGGGCATGCTGAGACAAGGATTGAGATTGGGCGTGGTGGTGTGTGCCTATCATTGCAGCTCTTGGGAGGCTCTAAACAGGGAGATCACCACAAGTCTGATCTAGTAGTGAGACCCTGAACACCCTGTAGACCCTTCCCTAAAATACAAAAAAAGACTCCTGAAGCTAGGCTAAGGGTAAAATGATATATAATATCAGAACAAAAGGGTGTAAGGCATGAAAGGAAAATGACATGGAGTTCACCTTCTTCCCATGTCTGCCCTTCCCTCAACTGGTAGTCACTTTTCTTGCTCTTTAATTTCCTCAAGTGGAGGATTGACAAGACACCATATCCAGAAGTGATGGGATTAAGAGAATAGTAGAAAGTGTTGCAGATTAAGGAAATAATTTGATAAAAAGCACACACTCACACCCACACACTCTCACTCTCTCTCTCTCATACACACACACACACACACACACACACACACACACACACACACGGAGACTAAAGAATAGGAGGAAAGGCAGTCCTCTGCTTCTTACCCACACCTTGAAAATTCTCATTTGCTTTTAATTTCTTGGTGCAAAAGGTTGGGGGCATCAGTCTAAGACAGGAGCAGCAGCAGGGCAGTGTGAGTCCTGGTTTGGCTGAGCATTCTCCACCTGCCCTTTAGCTCTCTTGTCAAAATGTCTTCTCAGTTTGGAGTGCTGTCAGTTCGTAAGCTTACGCTCCTGTCGTTTTCTTTCCCCAACCTTCTCTACTGCAGATTATGCTGCTCACAGACCCAGAGCTGGAGAGCAGCATCCTGATCAGCTCCGATGAAGGGGCGACCTACCAGAAGTACCGGCTGACCTTCTACATCCAGAGCCTGCTCTTCCACCCGAAGCAGGAGGACTGGATTCTGGCCTACAGCCAGGACCAAAAGGTGAGCGTGCTTGTGCGCCTGCTGCGCCGGTGGACAGCTCTGCGGGAGGGCCGTGGGCGGTCTGTCTCCACACCTCACCTCCAGGACGACCTCTGCTCTAAGAAGTGCTTGGAACTCTGCGCCGGTGGGAGCCAGGGAAGTAGAGGTGCTGCTAGCTGGCTTCAGCTACGTCGTTGTCAGAAAGAACATACAGAATAACAGATGTGAAATAAGATGCCGTGAAGAGGCAGCTTTCCACCACTAAGACAGAGCTCTGAGATTCAGCCTATGGAGAGGTCCAGCGCCTCATAGCGGGGCGGTGAGGCAGAACAAATGCCCTCAGCTCATCAGGCAGGAAACAGGCAAGAGCGAGGACAAGCCAGGCCCCACGGTGCCCTTCAGGGGTGCTCCCAGTGACCTCAAGACCTCTGGCCCTCACTCACCCACTGAAGGTCCTCAGCTCTTCCCAAGAGAGCTGCTCTGGAGGTGGCACCTGCGACCCGTGCCCTTTTAGACAGTGCCAAGCTATGCAGGGGCCACAGCTCTCGGAGACACCGACCTCTGTGGCATGCGGGCTGCTAGTGTATGTGACCATGTCACTTTGCCTGGTAAAGGGTCCTAGCTTTGCTCTGCCCCTAAGAGGGCAGTATAAACCCCATATTGTTAAAAATACCAACAAAGGCCTAGTTAAAATGAGCGTAGGTCAGAGAACACAATAATGTGTGTATGGGTAACATCATTCAGAACATAGACATATTGATGCTTTTCTCCTCTTGGTAGTGAGTTTGAAGGAAAGGGAAGATCCACTTAGGAAGAAAACATTAGAAAGGTTTATGTTATTACATACATGTGTGTATGTCACGCAAATGTCATACTGTGGGGTAGGTGCTCTGCGCTATGTGTGTACTATTAAAAATGTAAGCCATGGGCCAGCAAGATAGCTCAGTGGGCTAAAGCACCTGCTTGGGAAAGCTTAGCCAAGCACAGGGACCGAGGTTTGCTCCCCAGCACCACCTGACACACTGGCTCGACCCCTGGGTACACTGAGCTGGCCACAGAGTCTAGGCAGAGTGGTGCACACCTATAATCCCAGGGCTGGGGAAGCTGAAAGCAGCAGGATCACTATGTGTCCAAGCTACATAGCGAGACCCTGCAACAAACAAATACAGTTTTTTTTTTTTTAATATAAGCCCTGAACTTCTGAAGTTACATTCGTAGAATCTCAAGCTAGAAATGGCCAATTAAATGTAATAGAAAAAAAAAACAAAAAACAGCATGTACATGGACAAATGTGAGAGAAACTGTAGCCTTAGACGCAAATAGGAAAACAAGTGAAATGTCAGAATGTTCTTTGTGAAATGTATTATTCATTGCGTTCCTTCTGAGAGGTTTCCAAAGAGGAATCATGTCATGGAAATTACACACCTTTAAACAAACGCTGGGCTTACATGAGCATGGGGCGCTGCCCTCGTGGGAGGCTCTCCCTCAAGGCAGGAGGGTGGTGTCCCCGAGCCGCTGCCCTCGTGGGAGGCTCTCCCTCAAGGCAGGAGGGTGGTGTTCCCGAGCCGCTGCCCTCCTGGGAGGCTCTGACATGCACATTGTGGAAGAAGCAAATTAACATTTTAGGATTGGAGTTTTAATCATGCTGCCTTTACTGCCAAATACAACGCACATTAAGCCTAAAAATAGAAAAGATTTACAATTAGTAGCTGCTTCCCCTTGAGCAGCCTGGCTACTCGTGTAGCAGAATGTACGATTTTGTTCCTGGAGTCAGGCCACAGCGCATCTGCTCCGGGGTGGTGCTGGTAACTGAGGTGAGGGCTGAGCATTTCGGGGACACAGGGTATTAGCCATTTAATCTTCTGGGTTATTGAATTCTGTTCGACAGTTGGTTCAGTGTTTCCCCTGTTGCCAGGAGCACAGTGAAGCCAAATTTACCTGGCTAAGGGAAGGCTCTGCATCTTTGCAGTTTTGTAGGAGGAAATGTCCAGAAACGTACCCTTGCAGGCTCCAGCCTTCACGTCCAGCCGTGGCAGTCACGTGGCAGAGGAGCCATCCCTGGGGGGCTATGTCCCCAGCTCCACCATTCTCAGTGGACACCATGTAGTGTCATCCTCCTTGTCACAGGAGGGGTTTGTATTGAAAGTGAGAACCACGGGTACATTTGCTGTGATGTGAAATGCCGACATTAGGCTGCACGTCCATCCAATTTAGACACTGCATGGGTGCAACATTGGTGTAAAATAACTGTATCAAAAGCTTTCAATCCACATGGAGATAGAAAATTAATACATGTGCTTTCACCAATAATTTGAGAGGGGATAAAGTCAGCACTCTCACGGATGTGTAATGGATGCATAGCAGAGTGGCTGGCTGTATTTCTGAAATTGGTTTAAAGTTCAGAAGATGGAGATCTAAACATCTGTTAACTTGACATCCTATGAAACTACTTCACCTGCACCTGAGTAAATGGGAAAGATTTCTGTTGGAGAGGGCACATTTTTATAAAAGGAATATTAAAAACAGTCCTGTCAAAGTTAGAGGAAATGTCGTCTTGGTGGTGGTGGTGGTGGTGGTGGTGGTGGTGGTGGTCGCCGTCGTCGTCGTCTTCGTCTTCTTCTTCTTCTTCTTCTTCTTCTTCTTCTTCTTCTTCTTCTTCTTCTTCTTCTTCTTCTTCTTCTTCTTCTTCTTCTTCTT